CGCGCGCGACGCGTGCGGGGGCAGCGCCTTCGACCTGGGCCTTGGGCAGTACGTCCCCGTGAGCCCGGACGTGATCAAGCGGCGGCGGGGCGGGCTGATCGAGCAGAGGGACATCATCAAGGCGCATGAGGCGCACAAGATGCAGAGCACGCCGCAGGCGCGGAGGAAGGAGTGGGAGTAAGTACCGGAGAGTCCCTGGCCCAGGTGGGCAGCCAGCAGGAGCAGTCCCTGCTCCGGGTTCCTCGCTGTGACCGTGGCTTTGCGGGGTTCTGGGGACGGGGGAACGGGGGCCAGCCCGCTCGGCTCGCGGTGATAGATGCCATGGAGCAACCAGCAGCAGGAGCGTTAAATCTCTGATGTGCCTGAGCTGGGCTCTAGTTGTTGTTTCAGAAGGTTCTCCTGCCTCCCAAGGGTGGTGAGGTGATTTCACTTTCTTCTTGTTTTCCCCCTCTCCTTCCAAGCCTTTCTTGGTTTTGTCCTCCCTGTTCTCTCGAAGGGTGCTGTGAGCACAATCCCCTCCCTGCCCTCCAATGTCCCCTCTGTGCCCGCTGCCACCTGTGTGTGCTGGACAGGCGTTCATCGGTCTGAGCTGGAGGACCGCGTCTGCTCAGAATGGTGCAAAAGGGCCTCTGCCGATGAGGGGGAGCGCTAAATACCCAACAAGAGGGTCGCTAGGGGTGAGGCTGTCTCTGAGAGAAAAAAAAAATGATAGGTTCTTCATCTTCAAGGACTGGCAGTGAAGGCTTGAGGCACAATTTAAGTCAGGGAACGCCTTAGATGGCAGCTGCCCGAGTTGGGAATTTGGGTGGTGTAGGAAAGAGGAGACAGAAGGGGATTTCTGACTAATGGTCTCTAGCTGATGCTGTTCGTGTGCCTGGTAGACTATTGCAACAGCTGGTGCACATCAGCTCTGGTGGGCAGCAGTGGACCATAACCCCAGCAGCAGATGGTAGATGGTGCCCGTGGTGGCGGTGATTGCTGTTGAAGCTGCAACTGAGGGCATCGGCCATGGGATTATGGATAAGAAAGGATTTTGTCTCCAGCGCTGTGGAATGGAGACCAGGCTGGTCCTGTCCTGCCCTTGTGTGAGGAACTGCCGCTGTGGGTCGGACAGAGCCGTGTTGTGGGTTGCTGATGTTGAGCTGGGTTGGCTCCAGCCCACGAGTGCCCTTCCTCCCAGGGGATGAGGGCCACCACAGAGCACCATTCAGCCCTCTTTGTGGGTGATCTGCTAGGAGGGAGTTTATGTTGCTTGCAGCTGGGCTTTTGGGTGCGTTTGGGGTCTTTGCCACTGTTTTTACCATGACTTGAGCTTTTCTAATGAGGGAATTTGTGCTTAATCCTAGGAGATAGTCACCATCTCCTAAACCAGAGCGAGCTGGTGGTTTTAATGAATCTAGGAGAAAAGAGCCTAAGTGGGTGTCATTGCTAGAGTCCACTCATATCTTCCTGCAGTTAACTTCTTTCTATAGCTTTCCTTGGTGGTGCAAGAAATCCCAGCTCCAAGTCAGGGGTTATTCTTCCTTGCCCAGCGCTCGCCACACAAAGCTGCTGCTCCGTGCTGCAATCTTGCATTAAATTGCCAAGACTTTTCTTCGGCGTCCGCTCAGCGGAATCGCGGCTGCAGAACACGCCGTTTCGCTGCTGCCAGCCCAAGCTGCTCTCTGCTTTGGGCACTTCAGTGGGGATCATCCCTGTGCGGCGCTTGGAAGGTACCTGGGTGATGGAGCCGCTGTGCGTCCCGCTGTCAACCGTGGTGTCTAATGACGGAGATCCAGGTCGATGCACTGCTAATTTGGAGTGCTCAGGTTTGGTCTGAGGGCATGATGAAGCACCAGGGAGAGGCTTCGTCCACGCTAAGGCTTGTGCTGCTGCAGGCCAGCAGTGCTTTGCTTCAGGTCTTCTGCAGCCCTTCTGCGCTCCGAGCTTGTGTTTGAACCTGGGAGAGTGACTCACGCGCCCGGGCGCAGGGGAAATAAATTGACATATGGGCTCTGCAAGTGCTTAGTGTCTTGTTATCTCTGGCGACCCGCTAGGGATGCCAGATGAATAAATCATGGGCAGGCAGGAAGCGGAGGGCTGGCCTCGTTAATTGTCGGTTGGTGTAGTGAGTTCCTCTAACGGCTGCTCGCTAATTAGCTGCCTTGATGACTACAGCTCCATTTCATTGCAGGGATGTGAATCCGGAGGCCTTCCTGCTCACGCTGTGCAGGATATGCCCCTTTCACTGCTGTCGGCTTCTCCAACTAGCAGTGACTTGAACGCAAAATTTAATATTTCCGCCTTTAATGCGATGGGAATAGGCAGAAGCCTGCGCCCAGCCTCTGCCAGGCTCCTGGATGGGTGCCAGTGACTTGGGTGACAGTGTCCAGGCTGGCAGGGTCTGTGTCCTGCCATGTGGCTGGTGACCAGGGACCGTCATCCTGCCTGGCCACGTGGGAATGGGAGAGCACGGACCCCACTGCGCTCCTCTCCATGCTGGAATCTCTGCCGAGGAAGGGCCAGGGCTTCGGGAGGAGGTCAGGGCCCAATGGCTGGAGGGTCTGTGAGGTGCCAGTACCACAGGTGTCCTGGGAAGCAGCATCCCTGCAGATAGGGGATGAACCTCTTTCCAACACGGTGCCTGGGCTGTCTTATCCTTACAGGCCATGTGGCTCTTCATGGTCTGTCCAAGAGGTCCCTCCATCCGCTGCTCCGTAGCCACGTTGCAGCAGCTGCCTGCATGGAGATGCTGGGGGTTTGCAGGATTCCTCGGAGCCATGGGAACGCCGGGACCAGTGGAACTGGAGACACCGAGCATGCAACCAACCAGAAACACATCCCCAGGAGCGGTGCTTTAATACCAGGGCTGCAAACCGGCAGTGCTCACCCAGGAATTCGGGTGCTGAGCCAGGAGCCTCCCAGCTGCGGACCCTCTCTGGAGCTAGATGGATAACATGTGAAGGAGAAAAATCAAATTAATTTCCTCATCTATAATTTTATTTGTAATAATGCAATTTCCCTGTGATTTAATTTTTGAAAGGGCCCATCTTGCAGGCGGTGTGCGATGAATTGCCCTGGAGGGGTTGTCTGAGGGCTGGCTCTAAATCTCCTGGTGGGAGCTGCCAAGCCTGGAGCTCGGCTCCTAGCATGGGGCTGTGCTTTCCTGGGCGGCTCTGGTGCTGGTGGGTTTTTGGGAGTGGGAATCGACAAGTGGTTGCAATAAGAACATGCCAGATGCCCTTCTGGGATACTCCAAAATGAGAGGAGGGAAGTTTCTTGGAATGAAACATGACTTGGAATGAAGCCTCGGATACCTGTGAAAGAGAGGGTATGATCAGCAAACTGGAAAGGCAATCGTCTGCCTTCCGCTTAGGGCTCACCAGGGCTTTTTCTGGATCTGGAGTCCGCAACAAAGCACGGCCAGCAGCTGGAGCCTGGAAAGTGGGTTTTCGTGGCTCGCTGTGGAGCAGGGCGCTCGGCCACCCGCAGCAGGACGGCTGCCTTGCTTGCCGTCTCCCCCGTCCCGGTTGGGACAGCCGGGCAGGATGTTCGGTGACCTCCTGCAGCTGGCATGATGCTGTCTGTCCCCTCAAAGCGAGCGGGGCCTTCGGGGACGCTGCCAAATCCAAGCCTTGCACTCCCAGCATGGCTTTTTCATTTCTATCAAACTGAGGTGAACCAGCATGTTCGGGGCTGCCCTCACTCACAGAGGCAGCGCAATGCTTGGAGCTTTGGGTTAAGCATTTGCTGTGAGCAGTACCTGTCTGGCACGACTTGACGCTGCCACCAGTTTTTGACACTGCTGATGGCCGGGCTGTGAACATCTGTCACCCTCACCAGGGCCTCAGGAGCGACACGGGAGCTGCTGGAGACCCGCCGGGGCTCCTGCTGGGGCCTCTGGTTGGGCTCCCGTGCGGAGCGGGAGCCCCGGGAGCCGGTGCCCTGCGTGCTTTTCCTCGGCACAGCTGCGGGACCCGCACCCTGGTGGGAGCAGCGTGTTCCTGCACGGCCGCAGAGTCCCTGCTGCTGCTTCCCCGACAAGAAGGATGCTCAGACCCACCCTAGGAATGTCCCCGGCCTGGAAAAAGCCTCGGAGCTGCTGGTGGACAAGACCCAAACCAGTGTTGTGTGGCTTCCAGCCACGTTGTGTATATTTGTTAGGTTCAGCATGTGTAACTGGGGCTCCAAAAGGCCTTTTGGAGCAATAGCTGCAGTGAGGAGCCAGGAAAGCTGGATTCCCAGGAGCAGAGGGCACTGGTGGGAGGCAGCTGGCCCTCGGTGGCAGAGGGCACCGTGCGGGGCTCGTGGCGAGGCGGTAGGTGCTGCCCCGGTGGGGTGTCCGCTGCGCGGCGGTGCGCGTGACGGCTCGCCGCCGCCCGGGGGCTGCGGTCTGCCCGCCGGGCAGGA